TAAATATATATGGAAAGCGGAAAAGTGTTATTCTTATATATGTGTATTGTGTATCGATGAATAAAAAAACTGCCATTCAATTTACAGCAAATATAGGGACAGCATTACAGTCTATACATATTTATCCAGAATGCTCAACTCTTATATTATAAATAGATTTCGATGTAGAATGTAGGATTCAAGAACACTTCCTACCAAAAATAAGAACACTATGAACTTTTTCGAGTTGATTCTAGGCATCCGCTTTATTCTCGTGTACCATTCGAAAAGCATGACATCGCTCTGCTTCAGCTCGCACATCGCTTAGATCGAGAATTAGCTCGACCCATTTGCGTTTCGGAACAAGCGATAGCAGCCGCTAATGGCGCGAATTTTGAAAACGTAGAGAAAGAGCTGGCCACGGTCGCCGGTTGGGGTGATGACAAGACAACAGGTATCTAACATCGATAGTGGCTAAGGGGAAGCATTTTGTTCTAGTTTAGTTAAATCTATGAGCCTATGTGTCTTACTGACGTACTTCGCATATAAATTGTTGTACATAAAGAGCTACTGGCCCAACTAGGGCAATGCTACTTTCTGCTATAGATATCTACATATATATATATATATATATATATATATATATATATGCGAATAATGCTTATTTCATACACATTTGCACGTTTGAAACACACGTGTGTTTTCACTTTTAACAGGTGGAAAAAGTTTGGCCATCTTGAGATATGGGAAAGTGGATATTGTGCCCTCGGCGGAATGTGTGAAATTTTCGAAGTTGGCCCAAGTGGGCTTCGAAAAAAATTTACAGATTTGCACGCTAGGCAATGGGACTGACAACTGCCTTGTGAGTACAGCTATATCTAACGTCTTTCCATATATTTTCATCTTTTTTGACTTTCTAGAAGGTATGCTTTTCGATAATATTAATCCTCACAACAATAAGATAAGAGAAATTCGTAATTTAAACACTAAAAAAAATAACTCAAATAAGAGCGAGCATAGACAAGGGCGCAAATTTTTTTCCAACTGTTTAGCTATATATGCTTTTTTTTTTTTTAATTCTTCTGATGATCTCCGTAATTTGGACAATTGGCAACATAAGAATGTCGAAAAGTATACTGAACAAACAAAAAATTTAAGAGAGTTCGCACCCTTTTGTACAAAAGGGCCTTAGTCAGTTTCTACGCGTACAGCCTAATTATTTAGCCGTCATGCAAAAAAGAGGAGCCCGTTGACCTTTGACCAAAATCGGTTTAGGTATCTTTGTTTGAAATATTTACTGTCTATGCAAGTACTTATCAATTTTACAGACAGATTAATCTATCTGAAAAATGTAATGTTATTTTCACTAATGGCATTAAATAATTTTAGCAGGGTGACTCGGGCAGTCCGATTATGGTGCTTCGTGGGTCGAAAAGCGGGCTGACTTTTCCTGAAGGACCAATGGAACAACGAGGAATCGTTTCTTTTGGGTTTTCGTGCGCCTCGCCAACTCCAACTGTTGCTACACGAGTTGATTACTATATCAATTGGATCAGAAGTTCTTTACAAGAGTGGTCTTCAGATCCTGAGGTACGAATACCACCAGGCAGACAAGTTAATGAGTTCCAAATCTATTTAACTATACTGGTTACTTTGAACACAGGTACCCACAGTCTCATCTATTATATGCATCATATGGCATAATTTGTTGCGGTCACCACGATTGTACAAGGGCTTTATGTGGTTAGTCAGCAAAAATAGCATATTGCTGATAAACTAGACTTATGATGACCACAAAGCTTTAACTGGATACCTTCGAGGTTTACGCATTTTTAATAACTTGACGATGAAGTTTGTAAACTATAAATCAGCCATCTTGAAGTATGCCTTCAGTTAACATGAACAACATCTGTTCAATATTTACTTGAAATACAGGTTTATACGTTCGAAAAGCCGGCGCTGAGTTACGAGCCGTCTGCTGTAGAAGTCGCCAGAAAATCGCCAAAGCAATCGGATTTGACGGCAGAAAGAACCAGATAACCTTCAGTAAAGCTGAGACTCATCTACGTTGCCATTTGGTCGATGATCCTACTCTGATGTGTATTCGCACTCTCGCTACGCTTCATGCTGAATCAAAGTCCCTAGGGCGAACAGTATCAAATTATATATATATATACACATTTATTTGACAATACACCCTGACGATCCAATATACGCGCGTATTCTTTCTCTGCGGTTGGCACCCGATGCATCACGGACTTTTCAGATACTTCCGTGATTTTTTTGCTCAACAATATGATGCCTGGACGACAATCTTATATACCTATTTAGCCATTTTATAAATATGTCGTAATAGTAATGATAACAAAAGCCATCATATAGCCAAAAAAATGTATTAATGTACATGTAAAATAACCTCCTTCATTCACACAGGTTCATGGGATTTGAAGCAGAGAATCGTAGTTTCTTTCGATAGAAGGTTGGCCCTATAAGCTACGGAATCTCCTAAAAAGATGTGCACAATGTTCATATTATTTTTTGACAGTACGGTGATTGGCGTCAATTATGTGATTTTAGTGCGAAGAGCCCCGGTAAAGGAGTAAAGTAAAATTGGAATCTAAGAACATATTTTAACGATAATCTTTCAAAAGGACGGGTTGGACCAAAACGTCCCATAGAATACCCTATATGTTCTCCAGTCTATCACACCGAAACATTTAAAAACCAAATATAAGCAGAAAAGCGCCACCACGCCAAGCGAAATATCCTTTTTTCGACCAGAACGATATTCATTTTGATTCACAAGTTATACATTTTATGCTGGAATTATTTTGCAATTTAAATACGAATTATATATTGATAAAAATTGCAGTCATAATTATTCAGACTTTTTTAGCACATCCGAAAACATTGCACCGATTCTTTAACCTGATCCGTTTGTGAGCTGGGAAAGTCATACTAATAATGAACTATATAGCATCACAATATTGCATGATTCTACAGTATTATAAAAGATACAATATGCAGACATGTTATCACAAATATCTGAGCGCGCGAACATTCGAAAGTAAAGTACTGCGTGTAAATCAAGAGTACTATTAAGTTAATTTATGAATTACCTAAATCACAATAGAAATATTTATCCTAAAACGGTTAATCAGGTTCCACTGTTCATCATTTGTTTTCTGCAATAACTTTGTCGCCGCAATGGATTTCCATTAAATAAAAAAAAAATGTAATAACTAATGATACGCATTTACATGTACGAATACAATGCAAACGAATTCGTACCGAAGTCGTCATCTATTACAACCGACCTCATAAAAATCTACATCAAGTCATGCCTTCATAAGGTCAATGTTTCGAAGCCCATATTGCTTACACACGTTCGTATTTGTCCACGTGTGTTTAGATGGGAGAACTGCTATGAATAAACTGTTTACCGCGCTCATTATAAGGTGCACGATCAGGTAATATTCTCGACTGTAACGTTTCAATAACAGTGCAATAATTATCGTTGGAAAAATTTTCTCACTGAATAAATAGTAAGTAACAACTCTTTGCATTCGGTAAAAGGTATTACTTTCTCTGTTAACATTTTGCTTTTCACCTGGCGTAGTATTCGATTGGATAGTTTATATATGGCCTTTAGATAGAAATAACTAGAGACCACAAGATTGTGGAACTTGTTATAGACAGTGGTGGACCTTTCAGGATATAGATAAATTGGAACATCTGCCAAAATTTGGCTTTCTAACAGAACTGTACAAGGCTGCATACGAGTGCTACTTATGTAACGTTTGATGTGAACCTCAGTTTCCACTTATGATTGCAAACTTAATCCTATTACCGCGACATTGAGTTTAATCGTCCCATCTGCTTCTAGATTCCTCCCTCAAATGAAACTTATCACTACCATTGAAATTGTTACTTGATGCTAACAGCAAAACATATGAAAGCTTTAGTGATATATTCTCACAAGAATGTTACATATATTTACCTCTCTCCCAATACGCTCATCAATAATCCAAGTTTTTTTTATGGTAGATCGCATTTCCGCCGGCCAATTCCAGCGATCATTTTTGAACGGAATCACTATTTCGGCTCCAAGTGTATTACGTGACTTGACCGAAATCAAGTGGGGGCGCTAAGTCGCGTCGTTATCCATATTCGCTAGACGCTAGGCTAGAAGTTGATCCGCACATTGATCGCTACTAGCTGCTGGCGTTCGCCAGGGGCGACAGTTACCCCAGTGCTACGTAGCAAATTAAAAAAGCCGATTATCATCGTGACTGGTAACAGAGCTCAATCCTTCATTGCAATGACACTAACAGAGAAGATCCTCGAGGGAATCGCCATACGCTCATATTTCATTGTACTAATCCACGTTTATTTTTTTGATTATGCCCTTGAAACAGTGTATGTACATAGAGGGTTCGTGCTTTTAAGGATAAAATAAAAAATAGGATAAAATAAATCAGTTTAAAGCGACTATTCGGTAAGTACAGCAATTTTTCAATAAAGTTGATCTTTTTTTTTTTTTTGAATAAACAATGCCTGTTAGATTTTCCGTTACATGTTATTTTCTGTTATTTATGTTTGATTCAATATAATATTAATCGTAGCCACATAGACGCACAAATAACAAAGTTGTGGAGGAAGGCAGGGGAGATTTTCATCTACACTGTTCTGGACGGTTGGAGGCTCGCCACGAAGTACATTAATTCGACTGTTTTCGGTAAGGTCCTCGACCGCATGTTATAATATGTGAAGTTGAAGAGCAGTTCGTGATTATAGCCAAAGTGAGTAACAGTCGTCACTTAACTTCGGTAGAAGCACTTCTAAGGTTTAAGAAAATCTGACGCTCGGTCTGCCCATATCAGTTTCATAAATATGGGTTTAACTAATTTATGGGTCAAATATATGCAGTTTGCGGCGAAGGTGTGTCTCAGATGAAGACTAATCGCTATCCGACAATTATTTCGCTAATTTTACAGATCCAGAGACTTTCCCGGTTTCTGAGGGCCAAATTACTATTTAAGCCCCGTTGCAATTTCCACAATGATCTGGTCAGCTTGGTCGAAGCACGGAGCTACTCCTAATGGGCATCCAGCGGTCGTTGTTACGTTGATTGTATTCAGGTGTGGTAAAAGGGTCTAAAGCAACTATAGCATTACCGAACGAAAATTAGGTATGCTAATTTAATACATGAGTACTTCGCGTGAGTAATGTCGTGCTTATTATTTCGTTACCACTGTTTCATTAATTAACTATATCATAGTAATTGAGTAATCTAATTTCTACCCAAGAAACATTTAACTGAGATCAGTTCTACTTCTGATCCAATTCAGTCCACTTCTGTACGAGTACCGGATCGAAATAAACACTATACATATATATATGCGCATTTAATAACAAAAGAGCGATTGGGCTTAATCAACTCCCCATTGCTGTGCTTGTTGGATATGATCATCAATAGAGGAGAAGGTGTCCCTTCTCCCAGCCCAATAGGGCACTGCGAACGGAGTGACCTCACTGATGGCTAAAGATCTTCACTTGCAGTATTCACTTCTGTTTCGAAACAATTCCATACCGTATATGTCTTACAAATATGGACTGGACCACTAAACAAACACAAGTACTATCCCTTCTTTCACTTCGTGCGAATATAATATATATTTAGAGGAAGTTACACCATATAGCTGGAAATCGAAGAAGAGCAGAACTACGCATATGGTAAGGTTAGCCAGTATACAGAGGGCAAATAATGTGCTTTGATATATCGATATACACATAATACTGAGATTAGAATCAAGCGTTAGTATTACTAAGTCAATAGGTTTAATAAAGAAGCGTTCGAACTGGTTTTACCCATAATGTTTGCTTCAAACCTCAGTTTGAGACAGAGGTTTGAGGCCACGCTCAGATATCATGGAAATTAGGAAACCCTCTCCCAGAAGAGAACAAATGGAGTTTCATTGAATGTTAGGTTATATTTGCTTTGACCCATAGGCTATATATACCCATATAGTATTCTTAAAATAGCAAAAATAAATGGTTTACCCAATGTCGTTTTACCTTTACGGTTTGCAGTTCCCGACGCCGTCGTGCTAACGGCGAATGCAAACATTCTGTTTACTGAGCAGCCGGCAGTCCGCAATACTGTCGAGAAACTACCATCGTCTATACTCAGTTATCCGTCAAGTGAGGAACTTACCTGTGATACCTTAAAATTGACGAAGTGTGACGCCTGTGTAATTACAATATTTACTGCCGAGGTTTCAGCGAACAAATTTTCACGAGCTAAAAGACAAGATAAGGCTACATGAGAAGAGACTCAATGAACACTTCATTGTAGGCGTTCGATTTTCGGCTATAGGCAAAAATTCTGAAAAAATGTTAAGAGTTAGGCAGGTGACGACTTACCTTGGTGTGCCTGCCGAAAATTTCGTCGTTGAATCTAAAATGTTAAGTGGTAAACTTCTCAGTTCAATCTTAGCGACTGATCCCAAGCGTCAGTACAGCCGGATGATGACATCGCACATTGCTGTTCTCATACAGGAGATGCTGACCTCTCAGTCTGCCGGAATAACGTTTACCTGTAACGTCTAGTCTTAAGTGAGCGATGTAGATTGATTGATTCTATCCTAGCAATCAGTGTTCAATATGAGACTCATTATATTATGCAGAAAACAGGATACCAAAAAAATCTTACAACCTTAGTTAGACAAAACACACCTATAGCGAGAATATATATTTACGCCTACTTTTTAGGTAGGAACAGATTGGGCAGGTAAAGGTACTAAGTAACCTACGCAAATTTAAAAAAGGTTCACATAAGTATAATATGTAACGTGCATCCCGTAGAACGATCACCGTCACAGCAAATTATGGTCTCGAGAAGCCGTGTTATCTGATTCGGGCAAGCCTGATATGTTCGTGGTTCGAAGGCTTTGTGATAGAGATTTGGTCATAGTTGAGACGATGGTATGAAAGTTCCTAATTCAACAGACGTCTGCAGGGTGGACTGAAAAAGTCGAGGTTGGTGAAGATACACTCAATAAACGCGCGTCGCAGCAGAGGCGACGATACAGATCGAATTTATTAAAGCTTTCAAAGGCTCGGAACGAGTCTATCTAAATTACCGAATCTATCGAAATTACGAATGTGAGCACAACGTTCCAGAAAACTTTCGAATAGTCCCAAATAGGCAACACCGAAGACCTAAAAAAAAATCTGAACTCGTAACTACTCGATTGTTTACTTATGAGACTTGCGTCTGGCCGCGTTGATTACGAGGAAGCCAAGATGACACTTTATTCCTTGGAAAATGCTGCGATATATTATTTATACCTTTACATAGACCACATATACCTCAATCGTGTGTCGACGCACTATTTAGGAGAAACGATTGAATGTAGAGTTTTCCTGTGATCCCGCAGCTTTCCATATCAAATATTTCAGAGAGATGCTAGGGCTACGGTACGTAGGAAAAATATATATGAAGGTCTTTTATAAACAGATGAGCTTGGAGGAGTTGTTCGTTCTATTTGAAATAGACCAAAGAAAGGTATAACGAGGCATTGAGTTAAAGAGCTCAGTTGCCCGCCTTAAACAGGCCGAATTAACACCGCTTGGTTAGCACGAATGCGAAAGGTATAAAATCATGATGGTGATCAAGATAAGATATAAGAGGTCTGAATTGAAACAAACGTTGTGCGATTCAGCGAGGCCTGAGTTTATAGATGCAGTATGTTATTCTATACTTGTGTTTAGTTTATAATGAAACCCTGCTAGTAATTTCCCATTTCTGCTGAGAGGTCTTAATAGGAGTCATTTGAATAGATACGTTCATTTGTTCTCTCTGTCGGGTCATCATATTCTTTAAACTAATCATTATAGGGTTGGAATTTAGACGCTACAATTGCCCAAGGAAAAATTCGCTGAATTTTCACATTTTCATGTGCGTGTCTTGATACATAAGCTATATAGAAATATATTCCCATGTTCCATTTATATATAAACGTTTGTGAATCAGCTGTTACAATTGGCTGAGCTGACTTCAGGGGAACATAGTTTAATAAAAGAGCAAAAATATCATTCGCTGTCAAAAACGAACCCTCATTAACCAAGTTTATGTGAATGTATCAGACCAGCCTGCTATTTCAACAAGCCCATAGACTGTTAACAATCACAAGCACTCGGTCTGGTTACCTGCTGATAATCCCAGAGCTCGTTGCTGTACCTTTCTGAATTGAACAACGAAACGTCCAACGCTATCTTCTGGCCGCTTATTTGCCCAGCCTAGGTCCGTACGATTACGGGGCTTTCCTTGCCTTAAATGCCAATTGGTAGACAAGTCTACCCTTTTACGAATTTACTTCAAGAAGCGACAGACAGAAAAATTACTCCTAAAAACGCGGGAAATGGTTGGTATGAAGTTGACCGGAAACTGCCAGATTGTTAGCTGACTTTCCCTCATGGAACGAAAAAGGCTGATGGCCTCTCGAGTCGAATACGTCTTCGCCTAATTTCAAATTGGACCGCTCCTAATACTCCGAATGTTTGTAGGCAGACAAGTTACCATAAAACTATTAACGACACAAACTAGTATATACTATAAGGACAAATCCCACTTGCCTATATATAAAAGGTAACGTGGCCAAATACCACTACGTATTTGGGTTGCATACCTTTAACTTCCTACTTTTAAACTGCCTTATGAAAAAGCCGAAGTAATTATCAGATACTGAAAAAAAAAACCATAGACTGCAAGTCTTCTAGCATGGTAAAATGGTAAGCTTTCTTGGCTAGAGATTAAGTTCAAAACATACAAAGCTGTAATTGGTCCAGGTTTATTTATCGAGGTACAGTATTAAACAAACTATTCTTACAGTCGCATGTAATCCACCTCATTTCCAGCGTCAGCTTTTAGCATAAAATATCTGACCGAAGGCTGGTGATTTACCTCAAAAGAAGCCTGGATAAGGCTGCATAGAAGCATTATTTAGCATCATGACACGTAATTAGATCAGCTACGTTAGGGAATTTACCTAGAAACAACCGCCAGCTAATATCCCACTTTCTCTAGAAAGCGTCTGGAATAAAGGACGGAAGCATTGATTTTTGATGCGTCCAGCTAAAGTCTTATGTAATACAACATCAATTAATTTCTTCGTCATTATAATCACAGTAATTATTTACAAAGCTATATTGATGTTACGGTACGTTACACTGCATTGATTCACATAACGGTTACCTATTGAGATCGACCTTTGAGAAAGTGGTCCGATTCTTACTTCGCAGCCCACGGATATTCATTGAAGCCTACTACGCATTCATGGGTGTCCTTATGTTCTATTGTGATCCCGGCTGGCTAATGAATACTCCTTTGCGTCGTTGTCAATGCCGTCGGGTGATCGTGCACTTCAGTACCATTCGATGAATCGAAATAGACGTTTAGCGAATCATCGTTGTTAATCGTCGACTGGAACATACTATAGATCTTGTCATCGGGATCAGGCTCTCCAACTTCGTTTTCGATTATTTCGGCATCGGTCCGGAACACGGAGTTAAACTCGTCGCGGTTAACACCGTTTACGCGGAATCCACTAAAGGATGTGAGGGCTCGAGTCTTTGCTACCGATTCGTAGATTTGGCCATCTTCCACGAACGGATACACAATGTCGTTCTTGATTAATAGTAGCACCATTGAGCCCATCACAGATGTATGGCTATTTGCAGACGCGAACAAAGTCACCATAGGGATACGGTTTTTGCGTAGGGACACTCGGAGCGAGCTATCTCGCGGTGCGATTGCTGAAAAGGTAAAGTAGTAAAGACCTGGTTCGGTGCAGCGGAAAGCACCCACTTCGCGACTCAGTTCGGCGTGCACGTTCGTGGCGACAATTTCAAAGTTGATATAGGTGCCGTCAACTCGACCACGGGTCATCATGAAGCCGACTTGCCTGCTAAGTACAGCAGGAATAAAGATGAGACAAAGGACACCAAACTTCGTACGAGGCCACATGCCGTAGCTCATATGAAACCAGTCGCTTGAAACAGTTGTATACCAATGGTGCTACAATGCCCCAAGGTGCATGGATTCACTTATGTGTTGATTATAACTGGGCAGAAACTTGTACTAAAGTTAGCTTAGCGATGCAGTGCATATATACCTCGCAGATGGGGAGGTCAAAATGGGAGAGGGCAGCAATGTTGGTACGCCGAAGTTGTACTGGGGGTCGAAATTGCTTCGGTCAGACGATGGTGGTGATGAGGTAAAATCCGTTTGAAGCGCAGAAGCTATCAGACATCGCGGAGCTAACTGGGGTCTCTAGATGCGCTTTGAGAAAGTTCTGATTTCGATTGGGAATCGTATAGAAAGCCCCAAAGGTACTTCGCCGAATTTGTTAAATGTCTTCGTATCTCTGAGTTCTACAGTGGTAATCGCCCAGCTTTCCTATCTTTGTTTAAATTCTCGCCTGATCAGATGATGTGAGCGACGATGTTATTTGTGAGTATTCGGTACAAAATCACTTGACTTGCAAAAGACATAGGCGAAAGACAAAGAGAGAGAGGGAGAATTTGCGCCTTTCGTTTATCTGTATAACGATCCGACTCTATGATTGTTGTGGCTATTTCGGCTCAGGTTCGATTTTAGGCGAAACCAGGCTTCTCGCAGCCTTCTGCGATTATGATAATACTGATCACCGAAGTTTCAAAATGCAGAATTTCAAAAGGCTGGCGCGAATAACTGGCAAGAAATCACTCGCTCATAGATAGAAGTTCAAATAAACTTTGTTGGGCGCAGGCAAACATACTGGTAAACCGGAAACATGGCTACGATGGAAGATACACTTAGCGTCAGTTCGTTAAGTTATTACTCATCTGCAGTATTTGGTTTTTTAGTGCAGCTGTAAAGCGTTTCCGCCAGCCTATCTAACTTCATAGATGTCGAAAAGCAGTCATATTAAAACAATCACCCACAATGCCGCCATACGAATATAAACATGACACATTACCGCGGTACAGTCTCAAATTCTAGTATAGGATATTGGCTGTTTAATCAGGCCAACGAAACGATTGGCAATGATGGTAATTATTGATGATTTTCTACCTATTAGATTCACACCGTCCTTGTGACCCTCGACATCCTGAACCGGTACGCGTTTTAAATACTACGTACTTCTAGTTTTTTTTCCAGCACAGACAGAAAAGGCAGTTTCCAATAGAGACCGTGGCTCTCCTTGATTCGTTGCGATTACGGGAGTGATTATTTATCGTTCACCAATATAATTCAATAGATCGTCTAATTTGAGAACGATTTGCTCGCATGAGTTATCCTATGGTAGACCTGATTCTTGGAATAGCTTGCTTGTCATCGTCGTGAGAGGTTGAGATCAGAATAGGTTTCGCAGGCTAGGTCGTTCAGACACAACATTGATCCTATATGGCAGAAAAGCGTACCGTTTTCGTTGTTGTTTTCTAACAGCTGCGTAGGTCTGATAGACAAAAATAGTATATAGAATTAATAAATGTAGTAAATATTCAAGTAGAAATAATAAAAGTTAACAAGAATGCGTCTTTAGTTACGAAAAATAGATACTCGTACGAAGCTTTGCTTCAAACGGCTGGCATTTCCGCGCGCGAAAAAAATGTCGTTCGATTTCTGGTCTAAACCCACCGTATGCCTGTCGGTACTACGTTACAGCCACGGGTACCCCACCTTGAGTATGTATATATATATATATCAGGCATAGCTAGTAATTTATGAACGTATCACTGCTCTAAATGATAATGATATGTACAGCTTACGGTGTATTTATCATTTTAACGATTTGCTAATTTGTGTGATGACCTGGTTAAAATATGCGAATTATGTACATTTTCTTCGCTCTTCAATCAGAGTTTATCTACTGACAGAGCCACAATCATTAATGAATTAGATATTAAATAGTAATATATTGGCATTTAACGTTTAACTCCGTGTTAATGATAGATAGTTTTACCTTTGCAAGAAATAACGACTATATCAGAGCACACATAATTCGCAGGACTCTCCAGGATCAGGTGTGTATAGTGAATAGATAATGCAGACATGGTAATTAATTCAGGTAGTAAGCAACTGAACATCGCTACAAGTGATTCCCGCTCCTTTCACGACGAAGTCCAAAACCTTTTCGACATCGACGAACATGCCGGGATACATAGGTTTACCGAGATTGCGTTCCCATGAAATTACACCGCATGTTATTATTTGGTATTTGCAGCCTACGGGTTCTGGGTCTACAGATGAGGCTTGGCTTTAGCTCATGAAATACAGATAACATGAGTTTGTATGCATCCTTTGTATTTTCTAAGTTAGCGATATATATTAGCTCAGTTATACAAATGGACAAATTCATGGATGTCAGGCGTCAGTTTTTCCGTTGCAGAGATATTCCCGCGACTTCAGAACAATACTTGAACTCACTGGGAGCTGCTCGCTACCCAGCTCAATGAGAACCAAATTACAGGACATAGATCTGAATGGCATAGCTCAGTACCTCAAGTTGCAAACCATGCATCACGGAGCAAGTAATCTTAAAGACTGGGTGAATTAAAGCCCAGGCTTTCAAGTTGAAACGGTACCAGGCTATAATCGTTTACTTGTTGCCATTTGCTTTGTTTGCACGTTTATCCCTTGGCATATAATCGCTATGAGATGTCTACGTATGTGTTTTTTTACTATCCTTCCTTATTACTAACAGGAACGCGTCTATGATCAGCTATATACAACACACGCTATATTGAATTGAACAAAAGGTCGCAGTCAAATAATGCTAAAAAATACCCTGCATAGATAGACGTTAAATGTACTATATTCGTTCCATTTATTTCTGTATGATATTTGTTCCAAAATGGCATCGTTGCTGAGATAAGACCCTTTTTTTAACACCGAGCGGGTTCTTCACATTTGTCGTTTGCCTGAACATTTCTAAGCCGTCAGCACTTGAGCTCAATCCTGTTTGCTCTCGCACTGACGTTAAATAGCAAGATATTATAAACAAACCTGGCAAGTGCCTTTGTTCCCATACTCGTAATCCCCAGCGCAAAACATCCGGGGCGTGATGTCGATCTGCTACGAATAGGATTTCCGGGAGAGGTTCCTTCGAATGGTTTACACATCAGTTCTCAGCATGATGCGGGAGCTCCATCTATCACCATAGGCCAGCATTTCCCAGCCCGGTGCCATGCACGAGGGCCATTCCTCCACCTAGGAAACGATACAGAATAAAGGGTGTAATTGCACTGAGACAAATATCATTAGCGATGGCGTATTTGTCAACGTTCTCTTTGACGAAATGCACTTTACTGAATTGAATTGGGTGTCCCCGTTGGGCTGCCATTAGCCCACTTTGCTTAATTAGCATCAATGCTGAACGATGGTTAGCTTGGTCGCCACGTTGGGAAAGGCAGATACGTCTCAGATTTGATTCGGTCCCATTGAAATCGAGCCTTTCTCGTGGTATTAAAACGGCGAGATCGTATTGCGGGTGCGTAACGATCTTCTTGAGGACTTCCATGATCAGAGGGTTGTTATCGTAGTCTTGATAAACGATAACCAATCGCTAACTGCGAATGAAAATAGATGCATGGAACGAATAGGTGTTGATTTTACTAGGAAGTAAGTGAAGTAAGCAAGGGATTTATTTAGTCAACTCTAGGCCTGGAGCGTCTCGCGCTTATAGAATGTCGAGGTAGCTATATTAAATTTAAAGCATACGAATGCACTCCGTATGTAAGTGTATATGAAACAAGTGCTAGACGTCGCATTAGGACATTGCACTCTCGGATCATAGTCGGACTGCAATCGTGACCAGTTACGAAAATCAGCCCATACTGATCAACAAAACCATCTAAAGTTTAAACTTTCGACATATCGTCTAACATATGTGCGCGGTCGTGTACACTATCGCATCTAGAAGCGATCCGGAACCGTAATGTGTTCATTGGCTTAAACACAATCCGATTAGATGTAACCGCGATGTTGTTTCAACACAGTGAGCCGCTGTAACTACTGCCATGTTGGAAATGATTGATTTCGCACAAAAATGACTTGGGACAATTGCGGCATTTTTTTGAACTCGTAGACTCACTATCCAGGGAAAATCCTTCATGGAAGCAGGTAAACGTTTGATCTTTGTGATTTTCGGAACGCTGATGACTGCTAACGTTTGTCGCAAAGTATGCCATATCCAATGGCGCCAATCATCTTATTTGATAAACCATATAGTGGAATTGAATAGAACCATTGAGTAGAACAATTGAAAATAACCACGAACACAGTTCGCTAAACCCGTTTCATTCATACAGATTTATAAAGCCATATTAGCATACGACCGTCGAGATAATCAAGAGAAGATAAAAGACATCGTTTAGCGAAGAGAAATTGGAAATCAAATATATCCGCGCGACACAAGCCAATGACGCTTAACAGCAGCGCGATCCTCATTACGTATTCGGAAGTGACGACCTCAGCAGCTCGAACGCTACGTTTCCCTATCTGCCAACTAAGTACGCCTCTGCGGTGGACAAACGCAAGTGCCACAACATGTTGTTAGCTTTTCTTTGGACTGCTGAGCCCGTATAAATCAATCACGCATCGGTCATGAATGCGCCGCTGGCAGCCACTTCGTGTCACTTCGTTCCTTCTGCCTTAACCATAGCAGCTTGTAAACGATCAATAAACATTAGCTTATAGCGAATCTAGTAGTCCCGACCAAATCTAGCTGGCTTGGCATCGCCATCCCTAACATATACATTTGAAGCCAGGCACGAAGCACGTACCTGCCTTAGTAAATCTCTTTATTTGTCAACTTGTAGATCGTTTGAAGCTATTCATATGCGTTGCGGTTTGCAATCTGCCCGCGCACGAAAAAACCGCTGTCGAATATTCTCAGCTTGTCGGTACTATTTACGGGCACGCTAAGCTGAGTTATCGGTTAGCTGGTGACCGGCGCGAGGTTCACTACTGCCCTACCGAATTCCCCCGATGGAATATTAGAAGTTCCGTTCGAGACTTAATTAGAGATACGCAACTGCTGTGCGGTTCATCTGCACCCATTTCGCATACTTGAGTCCAGCGTAGACACGGCCGTTACGGAAAAAGGGACAGGAAATTTGCATAGGTGATGTTAAGCCGACCGTCGAGCCAAGTAAAACGACGATATTTGACGCGAACTACGACGAATACTCTTTAAGATGTTTTTTTTTTTTCGCTTAATATTTATAGTTTGTTCCGCAACGAAGTCGTGAATCATGTCACTTCGCTCAACTATATGGATCGTGATGGCCTTCACTAAACAAGATATTAATCAGCACCCTTTTAATTAGAAAATAATAACGGTCTTTGACAAAGATTGTTTGGCGCGACAACGACTTGTGCTGGGATGGGTAAATTAAGAGGTTTAGATAGACACTCCCAGGTTTTTTTTTGTGTTTCACGTTTATCTTTGAAAGAAAATAGTAGGTGTGTTGTTTTCGTTTCTTTTGTTATATAGGGTCACTACAACAGTTTCACTGTTTCTAATCGTAAATCGGCTTAAGTGAATTCACTGGTAGTCATCTTCTGCAGGGGAGGATGGGGCTATGTGGGTAAAAGTTTGCTTTACGCTACGTTAAAAACAATGGGTACCACGGAAACGAATTTCTTACAGGACTTATATATTTTCTAGAAAACGTTAGTCGAAGACAGCTATGTCGTTATGCTATATGGCCTGATAAGCAGGAGCCATACGGTCCACGAATGAGTTCGAGCGAAAAATACAGTCATCACACAGAGTTGAAGGAAAGAATTCTTTCTATCCCAAAAAAGACGATGCTTTATAGTCGTTTGCTGCCAAACTAAGTAAATGAAAAATCATGGAGTTTTACTGGGCAATATGGCAACAAATTTCCAATGGTTCAAGAACTGGCACATCTACGAGACTTATTTTTTGCGCAGGTGGGGGGCAATGATAGCAATATGCGTATCGTTCTGCAAAACCAGCTTGACCACACTGAAACTTCTCTAACTTCACGATCTTCGCATAAATAATTATCCACGGGGAATTCTAATCCAGGATTGTGATCATATGCTATATGGGGCCTATATCGACACCACTGTCTTGCCTAAACGATGTGCTGCGCGAATAGAATGGTCCAAAATTTGTTCCAAAAGCGATGATACGTGACAAATCGTTGACATCACCGACAGATGCTACAACGAGTGTGAAAATGTAAGGCTCCAATGCCACTCGATCCATTTATTTTCTATCCACTGAGGTGAGTTATACTCCAAATAATTTAATTTGTGCAGTTTCTTTATAGAATCAGCATCGACGGTACCATATAACCCCAGTTTTCCTGATACTATTTTGCCTAATATGACCTCCACGTCACTCTCCGTACTTGCTGCTGCATAATAGCTCTGAAGCCTCTTTTTAAGAGTACCAGCACTTTGTTTGTTTCAAGTAAGTATGGCATACCACCCATGCAAGAGACAGTTCAATGCTTGTTTCAATTATGGTACATAGACACAACTAACTAAAGTAACTATATATGATCAAGGCCATTTAGCCACGATGTTTGCATAGAATTGTCCGGCAATTAAGACTGAAAAGGAGAGAAAATCAGCGATAATAAATGGCTGACTGAAAAAAAAGGAACGGAAATAGTGATCGTAGTACTGAGTAGTTTAAGAAAAGTAGAAAAGCTCCGACACATTTTGTAGACTTGGACCTTTTGATTTTTGTAGATTACACATATGCTTCCATATAACAATTATTTTAGGTATTAACTTTAGCGAGGAAGTTGGTTTTCATATATTTTTCTACTATTAGTTCCAGTCTAATTTACGTCAGTTACTTCTGGTCAATTTAAAAAAATCAACTCGTGTACGTGTGAAGGAGTTCGGGCCACAAACAGTGCTCAGGCCAATTCTTACCGACGTCATGTTATAGCTATATATTGTTTCTAAATTGTTCTGATGCCCTTTTTAGTATGACATCATCCCTTGAATATCGCCATTGCATGTCGCGTCACCATCCCAACGGTCGGCTAATGAGCACAGCAAAAGCCCCAAAGTTCATAAGTTTCGGTGCTAAAACATCTGAGAAAATTTCAACGCATGGTAGTACCGTAAAAGCTACAAACGAAAACTTTACCAAAATCAGCCTGAATAAAGCCTTTTAGAATTTTTACTAGTTTTCGTATAAAAAGAACCAATCAAGGATATTATTTATTTTACATATGTGTGTATATATATATGAACACTATTGCAAAACTACGTCAGAGACGACCTTGTGTTTCTTCCAATGGAAATAGGAAACAAGAGAGGTTTGTTATTGTTAGAGTTACCGCACTCTCAAATACATGACCATTTATTCTAAATAAACATGAAATAAATCGGCTTCTAAATTTCTACGCATGTATGTATTATTGAGTTTGACAGCTTTAGCTCCATTGAGATTATCACGTCAAACTGGATTCGTACTGTGATAGTAACGGCGGCCAGCCGGAGGATTATTTTCTATGAGATTGTTCCATGGGGGTTATTTCAGTTGTCGTCCGCTGCGCGTCCATGAACGTACTTAATTTTAGAACGACACAAATAAGATAGAGCCTAATTAAATGAGATTTGTTGTACTGTTATACCTTCAGTAAATGCTGATAATGTTATGCTTGTGATTCGTTCTTTAATCGGTAATGGACCTTCTTTTTTGTTTTTTTTTAGGTACAGCTTTTAAAGAGCTGGGATAAATATTTCGAGCTAGTAAAGCATTTAAACATTATTTCATGAATTAAACCTTTAATCGATCACCTTTCAGTGTGAAGTCAATACCATCTATATTTACATAGCGAACCATGTTGCTATATTTGTCGAACTAGCTAGACTAGGCATTAAAACTATATCTCTGCAGAAAAATCTGCGATTATTATTGGTAGCTAAACCTGTAATAAAGCTGCCCGTGTAACAGTTTTGCTCCCTCTTTGACATTACAGTTTCTACTAAATAAAAATCGAAATCGACCTTTTTTTTTGACAACGATGTATAAATAATTTTTATTTGTATCTTGCTGTTAACAACATATCAACATGACTTTTCCTTTTTTTCTCGTATTGGCCTACCATCATATTCTTTTAAATATTATTAATCATTAACATGGTCATTAGCACCACCATTGTTTACTATCATTTTCATATGTATCTATATTGTATATAGTCACATTATGTACACAATCACTGTTTTTCTGGCACTGCATAAAATAAATATAAAAAGAGAGCTAACTTCATATATCTGTATGGTTTAGTATGGGTCGCAAGGATGAAGTCCAAGTTCCCTAGCGAAAAGAGAGAGAACGATGGCGGAATCCTGTTAAACGGTTCAGCGTGCACAATCCGATTTGGGCACATGGCACTACCAAGATTACGTGTTGAGACTAGGCTCTGCACGCTGAAATGGGGTTGTCATAGCGAAACCCAGCGTCACGTCTGCAAAGGTGGCAAGCACACTGAAGCGAGTATATAGGGATATAGGGGTGATGTCGATGAAAAATAAACGATTTAAGTAAGAGAGCTATCTGTGTTCAGACGTGTGATGAAAACAAAGCAGGGTGATGGCTATATGTGATGCAGAAGGCACAAAGGCAATCCGGATTAGAGTTTGCCGAACACCCTGGGTTATCGGTACGACTGCGGTGAGGTCTGGATACTGTGAATGAGTTCGCGATTAAAGTCTTGAGGCATATCGAAGCAGACAGATTCTCCTCAAGCCGTGTTCTTTTCACCACAGCAATCTTGTCGTAACGTGCGCGACACGTTTTGATAACGGCACAAACTCAACTTGTCAAGACTTTGAACAACACGAATCCTGTTACTGCGTGCTTGGTACGGGAACATAGGATAATCGCGGATGTATTCGTTGTGTCTGCACTGGCAGCACGAGGTTGTCTTTTGGGCAATTGATCAATATTACTTTAGTATAGTTCGTAATCGCTAGACCTCTCGTCCTCGATTAGATATATTTATTAGAGGTTTAATATTGAGGAAAATGTCGCGTCCAGTAGTTGCAATCAGCTGGAGGCGTACGCAAAAGTTCGGTGAACTCGGACGCAACGTTCATGAAATATCCGCCCTGATTGATGCGTGGCCATGTTAACTTGCCAAGAGTTTGAGGTGTTCTGGAAGTTCACATAAACTGAGAATCAGCGAATAACGTTTTCGTGTGCAAAAGCACTACATGAGACCATTGTATAGAATCATGCTGTATCTGTTCTTTTTTGAAGGGTCTTTTTTTTAACAGAAAACCTTTATCACTAACAAATCAAATCAGCTTGATTATTTGGCAGATTTTGACATTTTACCTTATACTATATTGGTATACTAGGTTTTAATTACGTTGTTGAATATGTTCAGTGGATGGAAACAAACAGATAAGATTGGGTCTCGTATGTTCGAGTGAGTGATTCTCGAATTTTTCGGACAAGATGCATACCCCTTATTTGCGAAACTAGTTAGTATGGCCGTAAGCTCATCAGCGACACGCTCGTCGCTCCTCGAGCGCTCCTTAAGTTTATACATCGCTCCCAACCAGAACATGACGTCGTCAAAATGGGTCGCTGAAAACCATGTTGGGTGCAGCAGGAACCAAGGCCGATGATCAAACTGCATATGGTAAACTGGAATTATAGTGTACCGTACATAAAGCAGAAAAAACAGTTGTGTATAAATGGCCACTCCTTTTAATCCTAGCTAGCTATGGACTATAAAGCAGTCGGAAGTGTCCCTTGAAGGAACAGGTCAAAAATCTAGCGCTTTTCTGCAAAAGTATTCCTTCGTAGGCCATACTTAAATATGGACTCCGGCGTCAAAACTGAAATTAACTGCCATCTATGTTATCTGATTACAGTAATACATGTATGTTGTTTATTTTCCGCTAGTATGCATTCCATATTGATTAATATTAGATATATTACCATTGTGACGTAAATTGGCATATTCAGTGCCGAATTCGGTCGTGGCACAGACAAACGGGTAATCGCCAATAACCGCCGAAATATTTCGGAGAAAGTCGACCTTCTCAGAGCGGGTTTTTGGCTCGGTGTTCTGAGTATACTGGTTAAGAGACGCTGTGGGTTTACCGCCAAGAAGAGCACTACGAAACATATTGATGTCATGTTATTGATTGGCTTTTTCTCATACTTCTTTCTCACAGGTCAAAAAGCTCTACTTTTTCTTGCCATATAATCAATGATGTATAAAAACAATAGATTAAAGTCTCAAATAACAACGTGGGTGACACTTACGCTTCTTAACAATATTAGATAGGGATCCTGTACCGATCATTAAAATCGCTTTGCCAATTATATAACATATACATTTGGTTAGATCCGCGAAACCTACCTGAGAAATACGCGGAGATAAAAGATAATTTCTTCCGGTTTAATGCTGTCTGCGTCGGCGATATTAGTAAATGGCGATAGGAAATGCTGTAGAAAAAAGGCACCTTCCAGTTTTGCGGTGCTCACCAGAAGGTCGACATTACTAAAACGCTTGAGCAACAGTGAGTCCTTAGGATTCATCGGAATGAACTCTTCGCCGAGAATTGGAAAGAACGAGTTAGCGCCCTTACCGTTGAACTTTTCCGAAGCCGTAATGATGCTTTCAAATGGCAGTTTCTTCATGCAGGTTAATACATCATCGTATCGCAGTGATGAGTTACCATGCATGAGCAAACAATCGGTGTAGCTAGCCAACGAACGGAATAGCGTTTCGCCTTGATCCTTGGTGTTTCGCAATACGAAACTAAAAGGGCTTCCTGATTGCATGACAGCCCGCTTAAATAACCCCGTACTCCTTGGCGTTAGAATATGATACCCAACAGACGCGGCGCCAGCATCCTGGCCCATCACAGTGATCTTGCTGTGATCGCCTCCGAATGCCTTAATGTTCGATTTCACCCAGCGCAAAGCCAGGTGTTGATCATACAAACCCATATTGGCGCGTTCCGGCCGACCTCCGTTTGATGGAATGTACAGGAACCCTAAAGCTCCCAGTCGGTAGTTGACGGTCACTACGACAATGTCGCCTTTCCCAGCAAGCTCCGCTCCATCAAAGATTGGCCAGTTCACGCCGCCGTACACGAATCCGCCGCCGTGAATATACACTACGACCGGTCGGGAACGGCATTTCTTCGATCCGTCGCAGAACGGACTCCAAATGTTGAGATAAAGGCAGTCCTCACTTGTCTCGCTCATGTTGACTCCAACGAATCCGTTCAGCTGCATACTCGGTTGAGGACAGGATTTTGGCATCTTTTTAGCCTCAAATACGCCGGTCCATGGTGGAAACTCCATTGGTCTTTCGAAACGCATCCCATTTATCGGCGGCTGTGCATATGGAATCCCAAGAAACGAATTTACTCGGATACCACTAGATGTCTTAAAGACGATACCCTTCATTTGGCCATTACGGGTACGAATTGTCTGCGTGGGGAACGTCGAAGGTTTATCCCTGTCCGTTGGTAGTTCGTAATACTTCGGAGGGCCGTCCGTGGGGAACGGTGAATTGGATGCGCCTATCGGCCTCTGACCTCGATGAGCGACTGATGGCGGGCTGGAAGTATCAAATACTGGAGGCTCAGCCGTTGTTTCTGAAATAAATGCGGTATCATTACCGATTTCATTAGCAGTTACTTCAGGAGAGCTTGTTTCGATAGTGCTTTCCGTCGGGACGTAAGCCGGGGATGGCAACGTTGAGAATGCACTGATTACGGGCGTGGTCGAACTTGCCTGGCTCATTATTGTGTCGTAATCAAATACGGGGTCGTTAGCGGAATCGGCTACATTCACCGGGAATGACATTGGCTTGTTGGGGTCAGTAGGATTCGGGGCGGGGTCTTCGTCAAGAGTTAAAGTGGGTAAAGGAGAAGTAGGATGTGGAATGTCTTCCTTACTTTTTCTCGTTGTTGGCAGCCGTTTGGTCGTAGTCGTTGTGTTCGTCGTGATAGGAGCAGGTGTTGTCGTTATGCTGATTGTGGGTGCAGTAGTCATTATACTCATTTTGGGGGCTTGCGAGGATGTAGGCGACTGAGTGGTAGTGGGTAACTGTGTAATCATAAAGATTTCCGTAGTCGTCGTAGGAACGGCTGTCGTAGTTGCAGAAACGTCTGTTGTAGTTGGAGCTTCTGTTGTTGCAATCGAGCTAGTGGGGGGCGTCTCTGTCGTTTGAGGCGCTTCTGTACTAAGAGAAACCTCGGTTGTCGATGCAAGAGTTGTAAACGAGGCAGTAGTAGGCTCAGTGGAACTGCTCAAAATTATGCTTGGCTCCTTGTTAGATTGACCGAGTGAGACTGTATCAGCCATGGTGCCAATCGTTGTGGGTGCAGCATCTGATGTCAGAATTTGAATATCTTCCTGGTCCGTAACTCCTGGTGACCGGCTCACCGAGATTTCTAGCTCTGTTGTCAGGGGTACCGTTGCTTCAGTTAAAGTTGTTGACGAATTAGTAGTGGACTCTGTTTTCAGCGATGGGTGGGCAGAGGTTGGAGTGGGTTCAGCATCACTGTCCAAACTCAAGCCAATAGATAGGTTCCCTTTGGGTAGTTGAACTCGTACTGAGGTACTGCTTAGTTTTTCGACTTCCACAATAGGACTGGCAGTGGTCGCGGATGTAGGAACAGGGACCTTGGAAGTTAAGCTCGAAACATGATCAGGAAATCCCTCAGACCATTGTACTACAACTGGCTCCAACTCCGAAGGACTTTCGAAAACGGTTACGCTAGACGAATCCTCTGAGGTACTCGTCGGTTTCTCGCCCATCATTGACGATATTTCTTTGTGTCGATCTTTTTCTGTGGCGATTTGTTTAGTTTCCGTGTAATTCTGTGCTGAAGGAAATTGGAGAATGTCGAAGGGTCCATTTGACATGTAGACGACAATTTTGTCGGACTTACTCGAGGGCGACAGGCTTGAGCTCAAAGTGTCGGGTACCATTGAAAACATCTCTGACTGCGAAGAAGGTAATGAGGAAGTTTGTTCCACAGACACTTCCGTTACATTTCTGGTGGAAAATGCAGGTGTTGAGACTGTTGTGGTTGTGGAAGCTTCGGTGGCGATGGAAATCATAAGAGTCTTATTTCGGAGCGGGGAGTCGTTCTTAGAAGCAGGTTGCTCAGTGGATTCTGATGATATTGAATCCGATGCGGGGAGATCCCCACCTGAAGATGAGCCCTTATCTGCGTCGGCAGATGAACCACCTACGATGTCGGCTGATTCAGTTATCTCAGCTATGGGCAGGACAAGACGTGGCCCCCTGATCTCAGAGTTAGCGATAAGTTGAACTTCCTTAGGTGGGGCTTCGCCAGAGTAAGCAGTTATATTGTTTTGCTCAGGCTGCTGTGAAGCGTCATCGGTCAGGTTTGGGATTAACTCTACAGGATTTGATGATTCCCGAAAAATTGGTGCTTCAATAGTTTCAGAAATATTCCAGTCTACTGGACGATTCACCTCTGATTGACTAGAATCATTAAAGATGCGCAAGATAACAAAGTCTTGGCCTGGAGCTGGTTGATTAGCGCCCTTCTGTATATTATGGTTGGGATGAGGATTTGGATATGGGCCTGTATGTGCGCCTAGATTTGGGCTTTCTTTTTTTGGCGTAAAATCCAGAATAACACTTTTTCCGTGAGGTACTTGTCCACCATGAACTGAAGGTATCAAATGAGGAATTGGCCTCTGTGGGACATACTGCGAGTCAAAGCCTGGAGGCTCCTGGATATACGGAGGACCCTGCTCTGGCAATGGGCCAGGCGACTCTTCCTGAAGGACATGCCCGGGAACCGGCTCCTGGAAACGCACTGGTCGGAAGTGACTGTGTTCTGGTTCTGTATCACCAACGAAATGAGGTTCAGATAAATCTCTAACGGGTCCACGCTCTTCTGAGGAGGCCACTTCTTCGGATACATCTTGAGAATCGAGACCACCTTCCGCCGCTTGAGGAGCTTCCGGAACAACGAACAATATATGAGGGGTCTGCACTCCATTCTGTTGCAACCGCTTGAACTCATGGGAGAGCTGTTGTGACTGAGGTCCTGCCCAGCTACAAGGCAATAGCAATATTGTCGCGAGGAAGCAGCTGGCTGCAGATTGTGCCAGATGGACTCGCATGATGCTGTGCTGGGTGCATGCGGGTTGTCGAGATCTGCCAAGCAAAAGGATATGAAATATATAGCAGCTTAATTAGTTGAGGATCTTTCTTTCATGATCCTCATACAGTTCACATTACTGATTTAGTCTAGCCTTAATCTGATTGCAAGCTTTTTTTACTTATTTATACATACATGTTGTCCTGTTAAATAGCCCGTTACGGGGATACACCGTATTCCTGAAGGGTGACAGATACAAGAAATAATAAAAGAGTGGTGTGGTTTTTTATTGTCAAATTAGCTAAAGCATATTTAGACTTAGTAAAATATACTCTGATAATGTCCCATCGCTAAAATCATCCTATATGCTCTGTCTCGATTTCATAGTAATGCATTCGAGCAGGTCCTACAATAAGGAAAGCACCCGATTAGGTAAAACTTCTCTTGATTTTCTTCTAATGTGATTTTCTGTTGTTTTTTGTTTTGGCCACTGGTAAACGATGTTTCAGTATAGTATTGATTTTAATTGACTATGTTCTCAATATTCCTTAGCCTTGAGAGGGGTGTGATCTTCTCAGCGCATACTGATCAGTTGATTACTTTAAATTTTTGTAGCGATCTCTAAATCCTGATCACTATCAAAACACGGTTCCTCTTTGTATATTTTTGCTCCAAGGTGTATTTTTGCTCCTATTTATCTGGACAGCGACTAGACGCGTAAGATAGGCCAACGTCAAAGTTTCGCCTATGCTTCGCAATAATAAGCTGCATAAAATAGAGTTCTAAAACAGAAGATGCATCTTCTAAAAAAATTTTTCTCTTTATATGAAGCTTTAAAAATATTCGTGGACATAATGAAAGCGAATAGCTTTGGAACGTTAATGCAATTTACTTACAAAGTGTAAGTTTTGTAAGGACTATGACGATACGCACGTTTCTTTTTCACATTTCCACGCATTTTTTTTTCCATTAACAATAAAATGCTGTTATTGAAATAGTTGTAGAATTCTTAACACATTTCGTTACCGTCAATTGAACCCGTACCGCATCGAGAGACCATAACGAGAATGATATTTGGGCATTTTATGTTATTAGTTTTCCTTAAACAGGACTTTCCGAGCAGATTTGGCCGTCCGTTTTGTTGACTACTGCTCACACCCAAGGAAAATACCCATTGAAGTTTTCCTGTACGCATTAAAAATGGGTGCTTATCACAATTCACTATCATCAATTGTCTCTGTATACGAGCGTCGCTGATAATCTGACCGGTCGAAATGTTTGTTTACAGGCAATGTTTTCGTGGATTAAGATAGCCGAAAAATAACTCGAAAACGAAACTCGATCGACGACGGTCTCACAGTTTGCAAATTTTAATAGACACGCACAGCGACTGATAATTTGAGCCATTGCTTTCATTGGCGCATAATTCATTGAATGTCCTTGTGATCATAATCATCGTTACGTCGAAGACCGTAGCCTAAGGGGACGCAGTCCGAAATAACATTGCGCCTATTACCTTGTTGTCAGCAACAACAAAACATCTATTAGGCTTAATTGACATCTTCGTAACAAAGATACGCTCCGACAATCATCGCGGCATGATGAGCTAATACTCAATTTGAGCCACTTTCACCCATCCCTCCACGTCACTTCTTACCAAACGTCAAGTTCCTAGATAGTCCTCAACTTGAAAAGCCTCACTGTTCTATTAGCAATAGGGAATAAAATCAGTTTGCTTATCCTCACAATGGGCTGATTTATGCCACGCATGGATATTACGCAAGGCGTTTAAATAGAGTAGAATAAAATGAATGTCTTACTATATCATTTACTAGCCATAATTATCTCTCTCTGCTTTGAGGGGCGGGGGGTCAGTGTTGCCCGTGCACGTCAAGCTTCCTTGCAGAACCCTGCACTTCAGAGAAACAATACAGACGTAACGAACGCTTGTAGCGAAGAGTTTACCCAAGTTGGCAGATGTGGGCGTCATAGTCAGCTTTTTTTCTTTAATGTAAATACTGTGCAGTTCGCATGCTTTTGCAATGTGAAGCGTTATAGACCCAATCTATAGTTGATTTCTTCTTTAGAACTGGATAATTTATTGTATTGATTTGGCTTTTAGCAGCGAGGTCAAGAAAATACGTATCGGTACATAGAGACCTATAGCGAAATATTTCTAGTAAAGCGGGTAAATCAGCGCAAACTGTTGGCTCCGTGCCCCTTTCGTTTCGGAGATCGCCGACCGTAATTTCTCGATACGTGGCGATTTTGTGTATATTCAATAGGACAATTCTCTGGCATGACGGCACGCAACAGCGAACGAGACCAGCTAGTAATAATATCGATCTTTGCCTAAAGCAACTTCATAAAACTTCATTTCCTAGCGTCCTAAGCTAGACGTACTAGTCGATCAAGGTACAAAGGAGTCCTTCTCAAAGACCTCGCTTTCCACCTTCATATTATAGGAACCAAAAAGCAAACCGCCAAATGGGGGCGAAGCAATGATAGAATTACTAGCGTCTCATAATCATATAATACGTACAATTGCATTGGTAATTGCTTATTCATATATGGAATATTGGACCTGTATTTTGTTACCAAGGCTTAATGGGTGGTGGCATTTAAAAGGCCTCCAACTAGTTATACTATGAATGGCGAATCACGAATGCGTCAGTAGAGAGAGGCTTTTATTCTCTATGGATATTGGTATAAGCTAGTTATTTTCTACGGAGAATAGATTTTTATATAGAGCTTAAAAGTGAAATCACACGGCGGTAGCGAGCAGAGGCAAAAATCAGTTATCAGACGGTCCGAATTTACTATTTTCTGCCTGCGTTCCAAGCCCTTTTTGTCGTATTACTCTACGGTTACGTTTCTAGACGACAAGTGGTCAATTCAATGGCACTTCGTCTAATTTTACCGGTAGAGAAAATGAGAGCAAGAGAAACAGTATCAGTAACTGTGGCAACGATGAGCGCACTTGTGATAACATTTCGAAATAATGGCCGCGTTGTTGGTACTCGCCTATGGATTACTAGCGAACAATCAAATGCGTCGAACGGCAGACCTTCGAATACTGTAACAAAATAAATTGATAATGCTCTCGGTGTGGACCTGACAAAACCATTGAGTTTCTACAAACGCAACGGAAAGAGCGTTTAAGAATTTGAATTTATTAAATCGATTCACTCATATCTAGAGTAATTCTGTGCAATGCGATAACTTCATAGCATCCAAGAAGTAGACAATGATTGATTTATCGTGACCGTGTATGTAAACTACGATTTGTGCCATTTTTTTTTTTGACGATGTTAATAAAACAGTATAACAGTTTAGTTATTAGAAGTTAATCCAAAAAGTACCTCGAATTATTCCAAATCTTTCGACACTCATCTCTAAGGGCTACAGTCACTTAGTAATGCTTTAGGGATGTGAAGAATACGTTATTTTACAGATTTTTTTTTTATATATCTTATCTGCTTTGAGCGTCGTATCAGCACAGTTGGCGCACTTTTTCGTCGATTCAATATAGACGGGTTCGAATCAGTTTTTTTTTCCTAATACTATAAGGCCGCTACGCCACTTTTTACCGCTAACTAATCACAGCGTCCAGACAGAAATGCTGTTAGAAGGACGCACCAAGGAGGACTGGAACATTACCGTCAGGCCGATATTTACCCGTTATTTATTTACTAGCCGACTGACATCAAGGAACACCGTGGATCCATCAATTTGTACGTATATACATGTATATGTATATACCTAAATAGTGAGGCTTGTTGTGATAATGCTACGAGTAGAGGCTGTCAAGCGTCTTTTACTGTGAAACGAATCTATTCTTCGTCGACGATTTTAATAGAAATGAAGGTTGTAGAGCACAGCTTATCGTAACACAGAATCACTTAAATGACCAAATTCGCTTGACTGCGTTTGTTTAATTGTAAATTTCTCTGTGGCCGCGCCCTCATCTGGCCAGTATATGGGAGCGATTGTGACTTAAGAAAATGTCGTTGTCAAGAAAACAAAAGCTAAAGGACCCAGTTATTGCTATGGCGTTCAATATTGTAATATCGGACTAAGGATTTAGTCCTGAAGCTAACAGTAGAGGCCGAAACGAATACTACATTGCCACTACAGAATATATCTATAGTAAAACATATGTATATATGTATTAGAATGCAAATTGTGACTGTTATTTAGAGGCATACATAATTACATTGCTAAGTATGTTTATTAGAGCTGAGCTATGGGTCGAACGTATAAATAAACACAAAACAGTCAGTAAATTGCTAAGTGTATATAATCAAACGATTTCTATGTTCTATATGTGCGTAAATCAACTTAATCCATGAAAGCAATGAAAAAAAATAGTTAGGTTCTACAACTGTACAACATTCTCAAGGCCAGATGCAACTGAACTCGATAAACTGAAATTCATTATTGGCTATGAGAACAAGATGGAGCGTCACATAGAGATCCCTCCTAATATAACGAATCCCTCTGATTTCACTTCAACAAAACTATCTTCTTCGCTTTATTCAACTATAGTAATAGTTTGAAACAACGTTTTGACCTTTCGTAGAGAAAAAAAAATACATTTGGCCAAGATTGATCGATTTTCTAAATTAATTTTTCATTGAAATATATGTTTTATAGCCAATTCTGTCGATCTTAAAAAGTTACGGAATTTAAGCATAAAAAACGCCTATGTTTTTGTGATGATTGTCGCAAGACTTAAAACACCGAAGAGGCAAGTGTCTGCAGCATAACCGTGACGACCTCTTGCCGGAAGCCCAGGCTACCGAAATAAGGCACTATTTAAAAATACACTACACAAATAAACGTAATTAGACAGAGAAGCAACGATATCGTTTGAAAAATAGGTAGTTTAAAATTAAATTTCTGTCCAGCAAAAATGTAGTACCTTACGATTGGGGATAATCTAGACGACGTGTGAGTGTATATCGCTTGCAGTGGTCAAAAATGGAAAAATTGCGTAAGGTAAACATAAACATGTTAACTAAGTAATTCTTTCAGATTTCGAACCATCCAGTAT